TGGCAAGATACCCCGAAATTCTACCTATCCAAATCGCTTGTTCTTTGCAGATGAACCCTAACTGCTCTTCCTCTAAAGCCCGAGTTAACGTTCCTGGACAGCCAGAAAATTTTTCGTTCTGTATTCTATTTGGAATCGAATAAAAATGTTTACAATAAATCTGAAAAACAACCAAAAACATCTATTTTTGCTTCGATTTAAGTTGCAAAACTAAAACACTAACAGAAACTTAACAACCACTCCTTGTGAGCTGAAACTGTAATAATTATTTACAAGGTAAGTATAAATTAGAGACCAAAAGCTCTGCTAAATTAGAGAAAAACAAACTACTATCAGAGTGCCTTTTATCATAATTATGAGTTGAACTTAAATTCACCGATAATTAGCACATCAGTCTAGTACATAGAATATGAGAGTTACAGAACTCCTGCCGCTAAACCGGGATAATGGTTAGCGACGCTGACTACCGTATCGAAATGCCTGGCCTCGAGTCCCGAAGAAGGCAAGGATGTTTCTAAATGTATAGTGTCTGTGCGGCATAGGGATGAGTGAGTGAGTGCACCGCTATGATGGCTTCCGACCACGGACATGAACCAAACGGAATTATATACCATCACGGCGGGGAAGACTCCAGAGTAACAAGGTTGAATATTATAAACTAATAACAGTTTTTACATATTGTTAACTGCAAGGCACTAAGCGTTATTCTGGTTATCTGCTTTAAGTTCTGAACTTTTGAAACATTATAATATTATCCACGGTTGTTTCTGCTTAGGCAGTGTTCTGAGATTTTCTCTATTTTATCAAGGGCTATTCTGTTTTTGAGTGTGTTAGTCGTCCACATTGCCCAGGCACAGTCCGCTGGTTTCTTCAGTGCCAGGTTCTTGTATGTACACAATGGAAGTAATAATGGTCCGTGTCGCCTTCCTCTCCGCATTCGCAGAAAGGAGTATCCCTAAGTCTGAATCTGTTCAGGTATACTGGGAATGGTCCATGACCTGTCGAGGACTGTGTTAGGCTAGCACAGTGGGTCTTTATTTCCATGTTAACTTTTGGCAGTAAGCGAAATGTCCTTCGTCCTACCTCTGCCTCTGTCCATCTACTTTGCCAATTTTGTAGCAGACTTGTCAAAACTGTTCGCTTAATATGAGACCAAGGAAGTTTAGTTGGTCTTTCTAATATATCCGTGCAGTTGGCTGCCTGCTTGGCCAGTAGGTCAGCGGCTTCATTGCCTTGAATCCCTGTGTGAGCGGGAACCCATTTTAAAGTGGGTCTTTGCGAAATAGGCATTGTCAGAAGCTGTTTCTGAATTCTGTATACCAATGGACTCCGGCTGTTTTGACTTGCGATAGCCGTCAGACTTGATGCCGAATCACTGAATATGGAGAATTTCTCCTGTTGACATGTGTTCGCATATCTAATTGCAGCACTGATAGCTAGAAGCTCTGCTTGGTATACCGAGTTGTTCAAGCCTAATTTCCTTTTCCACTCGAATGTTACAACTCCATTTTCTAGTCTACAGAAGGCGCTGCCCGTACTGTTCTCAGTTTTGGAGCCATCTGTGAAAAGGTTATTACTGTACCTCTGAATTGGTTGGTCGTTTATACTGATACCGTCAGAGAGATTAAAAGCTGCTGGATTGAAAGTTATTGCAGTTGTTTTTGCTCCTCGTAGTCCGAGTGGTGATAACTATGACCCCAGAGTGTTGAAGTTTGACCCAGCCTGGTAACCCTTACGATAGCTGCCTCCCTTTCTACTATCAAATCTAGGGGAGGAATTCCTGCTAGTTGTTGTAGGGCTAGTGTTGACGTGGTACGGTAGGCCCTGCATACTTGAAGTAGCTGCTGTCTCTGGGATTCAGGGCGTTGTTCCTTTGCAGGAAGAAGTCCAATCTGTAAAGAATTACTCTTTCCAATAGAATAGAGAGCTTTGTGGGCCAATAGAATAGAGATATGCTTTGTGGGCGGCTTGCACTATTTTTGTAACTAGTAAGTCGTAGAGATTATCTAAGGAGTTTCTGTCCTGGCAGTTGTTGAAATCTTTGATAAATTTCTCTACATGCGCTCGAATGTGTTCCCGTAAAACGGAATGTCCTCCAAATGCCGTTTCGAATCTTTTCTTTATTATGTAGTCTATAGGAGTATCCAGCCTGTAAGTAATAATTTTGTGATCACTGAGTGACGGCAGGTCACTCACTGTCCAATCTTGTATGTACGGAGTTGTATTGGGAGTTGATATTGTTAGATCTGGCCACCCTCGAGCTCTAGATGTTTCAAAGGTAGGCGGTGAGTCCTGAGCGTTGATGACAATGAAATGCTTACTGTCCAAGAATTCGAGTACCGCAATTCCCCTTCGGTTCTCCGAGTCAGCACCCCATAGTTGACTGGTGGCGTTGAAGTCTCCTGCTATGATACAGTGTGATGCCCCAGTTAGAAGGTTAGAATTAAGTTCGTCTAATAGAGAGGTAATATCTTCGCTCGGGGGTAGATACACAGCAATAATATCAATGCTGCAATTACTAGTGTCTAGTCTGATGGAGACTGTATGCTCTGTGATTTTCATTAGGAGAGGGGAGAGAGGGCCACTGTAAATAATCGCAGCTAGCTGATTCTTTGAGAGAAACGTTCTGCTGTGTGTTGGAACACTAGGAATCACTCCGTTGTAAACGTATGGCTCTTGGAAGATTCCGACATTGGCAGCAGTATGTGTCATTACTTGCAGCGTATTTATGGTTGCTGCATAGCACTTCTGCAAGTTACACTGTAAAAATCGAAGACCTGCTATATGTTTGTTTAGTGTCATCTTGGTTTAGTTCTTTGCAGTGGTCCTTCTCAGACTCTCGAAATGGGCTCCATACACTGGGCAGGAACTTGAAGTAGCTGGGTGATCTGTGCTGAAAGAGGTCCCCTTTTCGGAATTACTACTGCAGCAATTAGTGCAACTCACTTTTTCCGAGCTACACTCCTGCGTCGGGTGGCTGTTACCACACTTCGCGCAAACTGGAGCGTTTTTACAGTTCCTGCTATAGTGACCGAACTCCTGGCAGTTGTAACAGCGTAGCGGCATAGGGATACTCTAAATATGCGGCGAGCCGAAAGTCCTCTCGAGAATTTGATGGTAGGGGAAGAGGTATGGGAGACCCTCGGACTCGTCCACCGGGAGTGCTGCCCATCGAAACTGCGGGCGGAAGTGAGCAAAATCGTTGTGTCACCTGTATGGTGCTCAATGTTCTTGCCAACGTTGCACTCTTCACCACGTCGAATTTCGTGAGCTTGTTCTGCTGTTACTGACAGATAAGTGACATAAGTCACAACAACAGCAGAACTCCTGGCTAACGTTCTCCACTAACTTACGCTATGCTCTTACTAAACTTACGTTCTCTATCGCTTTTTAAACTCGGTTTGCGTTTCTGGAGGAGTTGACGTAAATACAGAACTACACGAAAGATTTAACATAAAATGATAATGCCTGTTTTAAAAATAAATCTTTTGGTTCCGCCCAAGACAGATAAAAGAAAGAGTATTGTTGAATTGTTTGCTTGATTTAAATTCTTTTTTCTTTTTTTTTTTTTTTTGGATTTAAATAATGTAGTATATTTAAATAATATAAAAGTGATGATGGGATAGAGTTTGCATGTTTCTAAGAAGTTATTAATTTATTCAGGTGAACATGTGTGGCCTACAGATTTCGACAAAATGTAGCAGTAAAGTAGAAACAATTATGTATTTTATATAATAATACTTTCATTGTTTACTCTCAAATTCATTGCTTAGCCAAAGAATTTTTTTCCCCAAAAAACTCATACAAGATGACATTATATAAATCCCTTCTCTATGACAAGAATTTTTATCTTAAAATGCAAAACTGAAAAAAAAGTAATTCTTGTGTTTGTTTGACTAGCTCTGAAAAAATAAAAACAAGTTTATGTGCTTAGTTTCAGGGCCTGCGTATATAAAAATTGATTCAATTCTTTTATTTTAGTTAAATTATAATGAGTTGTTTTAATGTTGTGGGGAAAGGTGTAGTTTATGTTTCGTTTAATCGAAATGAAAATGCGTAAACATTTTTAGCAGTATAATGCTTTTAGTTTAGCAGTATACTGTTTTTAGTTTAGCGGTATAACTTTTTTTTTCCTAGCAATATAATGTTGTTTAAATTATGATGAGTTGTGGGGGGGAAGGTGTATTTTATGCTTCGTTTCACCAAAATGAAAATGCTTTAACTTTTTTTAGCGGTATAATGTTTTTAGATTAAATACGATAAAGAAAGAATAAAATTACGCCACGCTATAGTAAATACATGTAAAGGCTTAAAAAGAATCCTATTACCTCAGGTTCTCGATTACCCACAAGTGCTATAAACGTAGTTAATCCGGATGTTTAGAATTCTATTCTTGAAGCATTAATAACATGCTATTTTTAGGACGAGATTATAATTTTCAATATTGAAAATATATTATTTTACCTCGCATTTTGTGACAAAAGCCACTAAGCAATGTACAAAGCGGAAATCATGTTTTCGAAAAGGAGATGCAGTATAAAATACATATGTAAAAAAAATACAAAGATAGGAAAAATGCAGAAAATATTTGAAATATATTTTTAGTTTATAACTAAATGTTTTATTTATAACAACTGCACTTCTGGCTTTAACTCTTTACTTTTTTTTTTATTTAATCTGATAGATGAAGATGCATAATATATTGCATCCATAACTTAACATAATCCAGACTTTAATTCAAAGCAAAATTAGCATTAAAATTTTTAAAAAAAATGAAATGATAAAAAAATGAATTGAATCAGAAAATTTTAAGGAATTGAAAACTGACAGTTCTCAATAGTCGAAATCTGAAATCCGAATTGAAATTAAAACTGAAGTGTTTGGATTTCCAATCCCTAGTAGAAATTTATTAGAATTTAGAAAATTGTTTCTTCACGCGTACTTTACTAATAGAGTTATAAGATGTCCAATTATGTCATTAAACCTTTTTAATTTTCTAGGGGTCTAGGGCTATCATCCTGCATGTTTTGGGGTGAAGTGGCTCACCTTTTTGTTCCTCACTTTGATACTTTGGTATGTGATATTATTTTGATATTAACTCTAATGAATAACTGTTAGTAACATGATGATTTTTTATACATGCAAAGAAACACTCATATATTTTATACATAATAAATTAAAAATTAAAGAAAGAAAAAAAAAAAGGTTTAACAGCATGCAGTAACGTTGGCAATGATATTAAGAGATAGCTGAAAGTGTCTGATAAATATAAATAAATAAAATAAAATATTAATTAATAATTATGAAAGGCCTATATATAAAATCAAATATATAAGGACCATGTATGCGTTTAATACAACTAAAAAATATAATTCTCTATTACATATATTTTCTTATGGATTTTCTAGCTTCCCGAGCTGGAACTTAGAATTAAAAAATTAATAATTATTATGAAACGTATGTATAAAATTAAATATAAAACACTATATGTATGTGTAATGCTACTATAAAAATATAATTCTCTAATGCACATACACTGCTGGCCATTAAAATTGCAACACTAGGACGGAATGATCTTGTAAAGACATTAGGAATTTTTTTGGAAGCAAGAGAGATTGAAAAATTAGCAACGCCTTCGCCGGGAATTGAACCGCGGACCTCTGGAATATGCACCCAGCGTGCAGACCACCACACCAGGAAGGCATACAAGAAGGCGGAAGAAATAGCTTATAATCTGACGAACATCAAAATCACATCAAAGGAAGAAGAGGTTGAAATATTCAAATGATTAGTATTTCAGCGCATTCAGACGACGCTGGAGGGTGAAACGACATCTGAAACGCTACATAAAAGAAAAGTTGTGTCGTGGACTTCTCATTCGAAAGTGCTTCGTAAGGTCGGAGTTTGCTCCGAATATCGTGCTATGCCTCGAATAATAAGAAGATATTTTTACGAGCAAGTGTTGGAATTCGATAGAGGCAGGATCGTTGCCTATCGAGAGTGTGGATTATCCTTCTGTTATATCGTCCGTCGCACTGGTCCACATCCAACCACTGTCATGTGAATATGGAATCAATGGGTTGCTGAGGGTCATATTGAACGGAATGCAGGAATGCAAACGTCCTCCCATGGCTAATGCTCGAGAGGACAGACATATTGTAAGGTCAGCCCTGCAAAACCGTACAGCCATATCACGGACCATTAGTCAGGAAATGGGCATGTTTGCAGCACGCCCATTATCCGCTCGTACGGTGCGTTGACTTTTGCAACAGCGTGGACTATCAGCACGACGACCATTGCTTCGGCTTCCCCTTGACAATGCAGCGTAGAGAGAGACGGCAAATGCGGTGCGCCGAACGGCAAAGCTGGATACAAGAGTGGCATAATGTCGTCTTTTCAGACGAGTGCCGGTTTTGCGTGCAGTATTCTGATGATACGTGTTTGGAGGCTCCGAGGAGACCGCACATCTCCTGCTTGCATTCAATATCCGCATAGGGGCCCTGCACCTGGTGTGATAATTTGGGCAGCCATTGGGTAGACGACTTGCACATATCTAGTTCGGATCGATGGTAATTTGAACGCAGATCGGTACATTTCTGGCATCTGATGTTCCGTGGTTGTGCCCTATCTTCGAAGCCTACCGAACACTATCTTCCAACAAGATAATGCAAGACCAAATCTTGTACGTCGTGTTCTGACCTACCTCGATACACAGGATCTTCGGTTGCTGCCCTGGCCTACACGATCTCCAGATCTGTCACCCATTAGAAACATCTGGTCATGCGTTGCTGAGAGAGTGGCCCGCCACCCCTTTGCAACTAACAAGGTTGATGAAATGTGGCATAGATTTGAAGCCGCATGGAATGAATTGCCTGTTTCTGTCATACAAGTCCAGTTTGATTTTATGCCTAGCCGAGTAAGGGCCGTTTTTATTGCCATGGGTGGCAGCTGTTTCTACTAATTTCGCACCCCTGTAAATCCCAAACTGCTTACAAATTTAATCATTCTGTCTTCCTGCCATACTGCTTACGTACAACAAATATCGTTTTTTTTTCTTATTTATTTTTTATTTTTTTTATTTGCTTTCCTTCATGGTGTTAGAGTTTTAATGGCCAGCAGTGTATTTTCTCATGTAGTTTTCCAGCTTTCCGAACTGGACTTTAGAATTAAAAAAATTGATCAATTTTTATTAAAAGTATACATATAAAATAAAACATATAAAGGCTATATATGCGTGTAATACTACTATAAAAAATATAATTCTCTAGTGCATATATTTGATCATGTAGTTTCCTTGCTTTCCGAACTGAACCCTAGATTCTTATTTGAAAACACATTGCGAAACGCTGTGAAGGAATTGAATAAATGTAGCAAATTCGTTTCTAAAGTTCATTGATGGTGAATCGTTTGAGCTCGGCTTATCAAAATTCGGAAAACTCTGGTGTCGTGTCACATATAGAGATATTTGCAGCTTCTAGTAAAAAAATAATTTTGGATATTTATTTTTGAATTTACGTTTAAGAAAAAATAATAATGAAAACTTGTCCAACGCAAAAGGTAAATGTTAGCATAAAACTTTATTCTTCATTTTTTGTGGGTGTTATACTTAAAATAATACAAAGCATAAAAAAAAAATCTTAAAGCTTTCAGATTTCATATTATGCACAAACAGATGTTTGTTTTAATTCACAGACACTTACACATGTCGACAGCATTTGGGCTAACGCCACGTTGTGATAAAAGTATTTAAAAACAGCATATCTTCAGAATTTCCGATAGACAGCCTCTCGCGCTGGAGATAAAAATGTTTTATTCCCTACAGTGTTGCCACTGCTCGCTTTTAAATTGCTGAATTTTTTTAACTCAAAAATTCGTTAAAGTTTTTTACACAATATGAAATAGGTAATAAAACAAATTCGAATTTGTCACTTTGTTGCTGAAGTTTGATCATTTTTCAACTGAAGATGGACTGAAACTGAAGATGAAGATTCATATTATTTGCATTTTAGAATCAAGCGCTAACTAACTACATTTGTTAGCCCGTTTCTTTTGTTTACTTTGATACCATTCAATGCTGAAAATCGTTTTCACAGAAAAATATGTTGATGGAAAAATTGTTGGCAATACCTTAGACTTTTCTATGCAGCTAAAAGGTGTTACGTAATCTGTTCCAGGCATTCAAAATCTCCCGCAAACACGGTAATTGAGTGCACCCGTCTACCAGGAATACACTCGAACACACTTGAGGTAAGCGCAGCACATATTGACAATGATAAGGCCGCTGCAAGAGAGAATTTTTGTATTACGCAATTTCTTGTCTGCATCGATGGCTCTGGAAATGCATGATGCGTGTCATCCAAAAGGGATTCATATGCTGCTTACGACACCCATGTCACCGGTTCGCCAACTTTATTCTAAAGTAGCAAGACTATAAAGCGACAGGCTGTTATGTGTTTTCCTAGTTTTCTCCCTTGTTAACGTAAATACGCGCCAGGTTTTCTTTGAAAGGCTTCGACGAAAGCATCCCTTCCTCTCAGACAAATAATCTTAGCGTATGTTTTGTTATAATCGAATAGAAACTATAGAAAACTATAGAAAAAACTTTTCATCCTCGTTTAAAATAAGAATGATAAAAGAATATATACCGTATTTGACGGCATATAACTTTTTTTCCTTGTGTGTGGCCGTCTAAATAAGGGTGCGTCTTATATGCCAGTGCGTCTTATATGCCGTCAAATACGGTATTAATAGAGCGATTTCTATTTTTTTTTTTTTTTTTTTTTTTTTTTTTTATGTGTTGCAATTTGAAGCAGACGGGAGGAAAAAACATTTCTTGCCGAAACTTTTCTTCTGAGTTTGCCAGTTCTATGCACTTGACGACAAATTGGCGATATTCTTACTTCCTGGTACGAAGTGTTGTTAATTGTTAAAATTTTCGGGTATGATACTTCAACGAAAATATCCATTTTGACCGCTATCGAATGCAATTTAACGATGTTTTTGCGTGACATCTGTACGTACGGACAGAATAAAGGACTCTCTTTCCTAAAACGGATCGAAGAATGGTTTTAAAATGAATTCAAAAGAGATTTTTTCGTGACTTCTGTATGTACGTACGTACGTATGTATGTATCTCGCTTACCTCAAAACGAGTAGTCTCAGTTGAGTTTTGAAGTTGAAATTTTGTGTAATGGACTTCTATAACATATAGTTGTGCACCTCCTTTTTTGGTTGCAATTGGCAGCACCAAAAGCATATATATATATATATATTATATATATGCTTACTCTGTTACCTGGCTAGGTGAGCTCAGTTCTTATTCTTACATGTTGGTAAATTGTGCATTTAAAGTCATTGAAATATGTTCTATGTTCCGATTAGGGTTTTTATGCTTTACTTCATCTGCATGCAATAGCTGTGGAAGTATCAACAACTGAAAAATTGTTCAAGTGCTAGTAAGCCTAACATTACTATTTTTACTTTTGAAACTCGGTAGAGCAGTGAATTAGGTCAGTTTCTGCACCTTCAGTGTCTTTTTGCCAATTGAGACTAAAAGTAAACTTTTAGTTTTGTGCATCGAAAAATCTGCCTTCTTGCCCTCTGGCCGAATTGCTAGTTTTTGCCTAGAAACTCCAATTCTAATTGTAGAAAAAAAAATTAATTCATTTAACTTTATTTGGTGTTTTCTGATATGTTTATTTATTTATTTTTTATTTACTTATTTATTTTTTTTACAGTTTTTAACATTTTTGACATTTCATGCATTTTTGCCTTGTAATGAAGTGAGAACTATGTAGAGACATTAGATTAATTGGAAAAGCCGGAGAGATGAAAATTTAGCAACCGCCTTCGCCGGGACTCGAACCACGGACCTCTGGAATACCGGCCCAGCGTGCAGAACCACTACACCAGGAAGGGACGCTAGGAAAACTGGAGAAATACCTTATATACTCCCCTTTTTAAAGGGCGACTGGGGTTTTCAGGGGACCCAATCGCGAAATCCTGGGTATGGAAAATCCTCTTCCAACACCCTTTTAGTTCGGGCCCTTTTAGTTTACATTAGGTATTTTTTGGAAGCAGGCAAAATGAAAAATTAGCAATCGCCTTCTCCAGGAATCGATCCGCGGACCTCTGGAATACCAGCCCAGTGTGCAGAACCACTACACCACGAAGGCACACCAAGAAGGTAGGAGAAATACCTTATATACTTCCCCTTTTAAAAGGGCGGTTAGGGTTTTTAGGGGACCCAATCGCCAAATCCTGGTGTAAAGGATCCTGATCCAACACCCTTTAAGTTAGGGCGCCACTGTAGAGACATTAGGTTAATTGGAAAAGCCGGAGAGATGAAAAATTAGTAACCGTCTTCGCTGGGAATCGAACCACGGACCTCTGCAATACCGGCCCCGCCTGCAGAACCACTATACCACGAAGGCACGCTAAGAAAGGGGGAGAAATACCTTATAACTGAATTAAATGAATGAGAAATATATCTCTAATGAAATGAGGAAATAAGTTTAAATGAAATGCAGCAAAAATGTGTTTAATTTAACAGGCCGTACGAGGAAGTCATATGTTATCCACATCATATTTCTTCATTTTAGCTTCAAAGTAAAATGCTTATTGTAACATTGTTCTTTCATCCGTTTTCCGAAACTGAATATTCAAAGCGACTTTTTATTCTCTGAATGTCGCTCAGTTATTTTTCTTTATTTCATAATTTTCTTATAATTTCTTGGTTCTATTTTAATAATGACTAAAAAATTTCATCATTGATAGCGCATAATTAAGACTTAAAAAAATGAAAAGAAAAGAAAAAAGAAAGAAAAAATAAAATCTAAAAGCTTCGAAATTCTTAAGATTTTGCTACGGGAAGTTTGTTAATTTATTTGGTTGATCTTTACATTATGGTAACTTGGCGTTTTTTTGGCGAAAATTTGGCGACCAACTCTCCTACAGCAACCCTCTATTTTTTTTTCCGCCGATATTTTGTCTTCACGAAGTAAATACATGTTTCTTTTCTTTTTATCTACTGAACACTTCTTCCAACAATCTACTAGCTAATTTATGCTAAAAATTTTATCTAACAAAACTGCTTAATCATGACAAATATTCACTGCAAAATTGGTAAAAAGGGCACAATACCATACTCCTTACGCGTTTTTCAAAATAACACATACACATAAACCATGTACACGCCGACTTATTTTTACTTAAAAAAACATCCCAGAATTGCACAAAAATGGCATTGCGCACACTCTTCACTATATCCATGTACACTGCTTTTTTCTCATAAATTAGAAAAATTTCACGAAAATACATGACAATTTTCTCAATCTTTAAAACCCGGTAAAAAGAACATATATGAAATTACCTGATCGCGAAAAAGTATTTACCCTTTACAAATATGAACATTTCCACATATAAAATAAATAAAATATCCAAAAACTTTTACCTCTAAATCATCTATTACATTATACACGTCACCAACGAATTCATACCGCAAGCATTACAAATACTTAGTATCAAATATTTAAATTATTTCCATGCACGTTTATTTCAACTTAAACGTATACCAAATTCCTACAAACATAAAAAATTCACAAAATAACTATCATTTAATTAAAATATCACTAAACCATGTACACGTCGACTTATTTTTACTTAAAAAAACATCCCATAATTGCACAAAAATGGCATTGCGCACACTCTTCACTATATCCATGTACACTGCTTTTTTTCTCATAAATTAGAAAAATTTCACGAAAATACATGACAATTTTCTCAATCTTTAAACCCGGTAAAAAGAACATATATGAAATTACCTGATCGCGAAAAAGTTTACCCTTTACAAATATGAACATTTCCACATATAAAATAAATAAAATATCCAAAAACTTTTACCTCTAAATCATCTATTATATTATAAACGTCACCAACGAATTCATACCGCAATCATTACAAATACTTAGTGTCAGATATTTAAATTATTTCCATGCACGTTTACTTCAACTAAAACGTATACCAAATTCCTACAAACATAAAATTCACAAAATAACTATCATTTCATTAAAGTATAATTAAATTCAAAAACACTACTTAAAATATAAATGAGCACATACATTAAATTAATAAAAATTACCTTACAATCCTAATTACTTTAAACTAAATCATTGCTAATAACAATTTTCCCAATAATACCAAATTCCTTTCCACTTTACATTTAGAACAATGCATAAAAATAATATCCTCAAATAATTAAAAATACTAACTTACCTAATCTTCTTCAGAATCTTGATTACGTGGCGGATACACTTTTCTAATTCATTCAATAAAATTATTGAAAGATTTTTTCTGCGAATTTTTCCTCCATACTTCCTCCGCTAAATAAAAAGCAAACTTCTCTTTGTCACAATGCCTAAATACCCATTTCAAATTCACTTTACATAGGGCCATGGGATCCAAAAATTAATCAACACTGTTTCACACAACACACTATGAAGCTAAATACAAAATGCTAAACGCAATAAAAATTTCCACTTTTTTCCCGATTTTCCCCCTTTTCGGATTAAAGAACCGTAATTCGTCCATTAATATCACATGACATATCCCATGATCTCTCATTTCCCTCACGCAAAATAATGCGTAATCGGAACTGAGTACTGCTCACATTATTACCAAAGTCCCTTTATCGCCTCCAAAATGTCGCCAAACTACCAGTTACCATATTGTAAAGATCAACCATTTATTTATTAGGATGATTAATATTTGTATTAAGGGATAGTGCTTATTTCATTGTAATATTGTTATATGTAATACATTTTTTAAATTTTTTATTTATTTATATGTATATATATAACGTTTTTCTGCAGAGTAAAATTCTGCGCAGTTTTAAAATTTAACGTTTGGCATTTTTCCGGTACATTGAAAGCCAGACGAAGGCTGGCCGCGTAGCTGTTAGTATTAAATAAATAATTCTTAGAAATTAACCCCACCCCAGCGGCCGAGCGGTAAAATCGCTGAACACCGGTAGTTCGGTCCGAGGTTCGAATCCAGCGAACGGGCTGGCTGCATTGGCGATTTCGTGTTTTTCCCCATGTGTAATGTGTATACGAGCCAGTTTCCCTCAGAAAGTCCTCCACGAAGGCATCCCTTCCCTTAGGCAGATAGCCCTAGTGTGGTTTGCCATAATTAAATAAACCAAACCAATCTTAGAAGTTATATTAAATTAATCATTCCTGCTGAATCCTTCAAGACTATCAGGCGGTTCCTTATTTTCCCTCGCAATCATTTCTAAAAGGGTAGATAGTAGATAATAATAACGCAGTTAACTGAATGCTCTCTTCAGCATTAATGGCAGCAAAAAAGTTTTAAGGTAAGCTGCTCACGGAAATGAAAAGTTGGAACAAAAAAAAAAGTAAATTTTATTGAAAAAATCTTGTATAATTTATCTGAGATAATAGACAAATGTCACTGAAAGTTAGAAGTTCTAATAAATATGAGGTACTTCACTTTTAACTAAAAAAAGCAAATGTCTGAATTTATAAAATTTGTTATTTTTATTAATTGGGTACTGATTACATGTTATAATCATGATAATATATTAGACTATTTTAACATTATTTTTGTTTATTCTTGCATTGTGCTTAAAAGGCAATGATTATTTAACTATGTAAACTGCCAAATTAAGTAGATTTTTTTTTAAATTATTCAATAATTATTTTTCATATATTAGAAAGAAAATATCCTTTATATTTTCATTACTATAGCCATTTGTGCTGCAAGCTCCTAAATTTAATCTCAAGGATGCCATTAAGTAACTGTTTTGCATGTTATTATTCTTAATTCCTGTTATTCCCATGTCAGTACGTTTCACTATAAAAAATAATTTTATGTTAACTTTTAATAAAACATTTTATTTTAAAATTTTTCTGCAAATAGAAATCTGAATAAATTTGTTAAGTGAAAGCTGAAAATTAAGTTGATAAATACTAGCGAATCTTATTGTTCCATTATATTTCCATATACAGTTTTCTCTTTTTTTCTCCCTCCATAAAGCATAGCCACTCTCGTTTCCAAATCCTGGCCATAGCTGGAGCTCTAAGTTTTGTTGCTGGAATCTTAACTTCTTGGCTACTACCAGATTGTACTGATCGTCCACTGGCTACAATAGCTGAAGAAGTCGAGATTGGTCAAACTAAAATTATTAATGACAGTGATCTTGATTTTCGAGATACTTCAATAGCATCAGGTTTTGTTCCGAACATACCAGCTGAAGACCCAGAAACATCCGTTCGTTCCAATAACAGCGTCAACGAGTTTGAAAAGTTAAATTTTGGCAAAGGTTTCCTGAGAAGATTGGCATTTTTAATTCGATGTAAAACTCAACGACTCTTTTCACCATCTAAGTATTCAACAGCTCAAATGAGCTATGGTAAAGAAATACCACCCATCAGCGTGGTAGGTGGTGATATATTTGAGCCTGTCACTGGATTCATCTTCAAATGGGATCAAGCAGAGCCTACTGTGAAAATATCAGATTTCGAGAAGGAAATGTCTGTGTACTGGAAACCAAACTGTGATCCAAATGAAAAGAAACTTAATGATAAACACTTGAACAGTCTGAATATTTTGTATAACATACAAAGTAACGCCTTAGATGGTTCAAATGAGTGCGTAGAATTGCAGAATAGCTCAGAAGATATTACCGATTCCAGTCTTTAAAAGAACAATAGCGAGAAGCTTATGTATTATTTAAATTAGTAATAAATTTTAAATATTAAATTTTCTGCGAATTTTTCGCGACGAGTTTTTTTTTTTTTTTTTTTTTTTTTTTTTTTTTTTTTTTAATGGATAGTTGTATTCAGAGAGGTTTTGTGCAATAAAGATTAGGTATATAGGTTGAAATCTGCAATATGAACTAAGAAGTTCTTGTAAAAATGCACTTTATAAATCTCATTCTTTTTTCATACGTATTTATTTCAGTTGTGTTAATTTATTACGATTTGTATCCCATCAATGTGTAAAAGTATAATGAATTATGTGATGTCATTTTTTTCTCGTTAAATAAACATTTGTCTTTCGAATCATGCTTAATAAATTAGAATCTATTGAATGTTGTTTGTTTCTGTCACTCTCATTGAACTCTTTCTGTAGATAACTACTTCCTACACAATAATAATGTTCGTAATTTGACGCAATTTATTGTATAAGAGAAATTGTATGAAAATATCTAATAAGTACGTTTGAAGCAAGTAAGAAATGAGAAACAGCGCTTTTAATTTCCATTATGTGATGCAAATACAGCTATAAAGTTTACAAATCATCTTTACAATTATACATAAACTTTAGATAGACTGGCAGCGAATTCAACTGAAACGTGAGAAAAGTATGCAAGAAAACAAGTATATTTTTATTTAAGACTAAATAAAATCAAGAAGCACACCTATTGCTTACAAATCAGCCAACCGCTTGGGGCAATGTAACTTTTAGAGTAACAATCAGCTCAAATGTAAGATTTAAATTAAATAATCTAGTAGCCAAAGGCTACGCAGATCAAGTTAACGCGAAGTAGGCTTAAAACGTAACCAGCATAGATATTCAATTATCGGCAATTATAATGCAAAGCAAAAGAAATCTTATCTTATCTAGAAACAGAGAAACGTAGCGTCGAGAGACAAAACGTGTTCTCTCTTACACTCTAAAAACCTTACCTTAAATACACGTGAACTAATTTGCATTCTGGCTAAAAAACGAAAGAAAGAAGTGATAGTAAAGTTGCAAAACATAAAAATAATTAGTTAATTAACATGAAGGAACATTGCACAGTACGTATTAATGTGTATATATCAGTTTAAAGAACAATACATATTGATTAACTCAACTCACAGTGCAGAAGACTCTCTTCTTTTAATTATAAGGTATTTTATGTTAATTAACGAAGTTTTATAATTTGGGTCTGTATTATTACTTCTCCTTTTCGTTAGCCCTAACCAGAATATAAATGAGTTAAGACTGTTTAAGGTAAGTGTTTGGAGGTTTTAGATATGGAGTTTTTGACAGCGAAGCTTGCATCTTTACATTCTATTACCCAGATCAGCCATTTAATTTCCTGTATTAGCCATTTACTAGCCGAAGTTAAATCGCACCATTGGAGTGTAGAGTCTCACTTGTTTTGATAACATACACTAAGAATAGATCTAAGCTACTTATCTTATGTCTACATAAGCAACCAGAAACGTACTAAGGGTGTAAAAGACTCTTTTATTAAGAACTCGAGTTATCAGGACTACTGTTCTTTCTTATCTGTTTGGTGAACATGACGTATCCTGACTAGACAATGAGTTTGACTACAAACTATGTCCTATGGAGTGTAGCAAAGACGACAAGATGAGAAGGGTTAAATTACCCTTTATTTTCCACGATATTACAGACGCTCCCGCACTTCGGGATACAAAGAACAACCACTTGTGGTCTGAACGTAAAAATATAAGACTACTAAGCAACTAAAATTTAAGTAAGAGCTAAATTTTAATATTTTACACAGATGACTAACTCTATACTAAGACTGGCCTTTTAAATTACTACGTGTTTAGTACTCAAACTGCGGAAAACTGCAGTGCGTCTTTAGCTTTCAAGAGAACTAAAACATCTGGCCTTAAAGGCAGCCAGCAACTGATTGAAGTTCGCGTGAAGTATAGTTGCAAGAAGGCTCACTCTCTCTCCATCTAACTCTGCTCTTGGCAAAAAAGGCCCCAACTGAAGTACTTACGCGTTCGCAAGTACAATTTGCATAAACATATTCACGCGTTTATTCTGGCCGGAAGTGGAAAATCAGAGATGATAGTAAAGTTTTAAAATAAAATAACCGTTAGTCAAAGTTAAGATCCTTACAAAGTAAGTTAAACAGAAAGCCAGCACTTATGGCTAAACTCAAAAGAAGAATTTTAAATTAAAACTAAATTTAAGTCTTATTTAGCCAAAGGCTACGAAGAGATATTTAAACGCGCAAGTTGCCTCCAACCTACACTGGCGTGACAGCACAGTCTGCAAGAATAAAGCAAGGAATGCCATCGTAGAATATCAACTAATAACGTGGTCTTCAGCACGCTCTGACTAAAGTAATCTCCAAACCTCATTTAAATACACGCCAGCTAAATTTGCTTTCTGGCAGGAAAACGAAAACAAAGAACTGAAAAGAAAGGTTTGTAACTTAAACTATCTGATTAATTAATATAAATACCTTTCAAGAGTTCGAGTAGCTTGGTTAGACCAAATTTGTGTAGTCTCCGGCTACATTCTTTTTTTGCATTGTAAATTCAACTTTATGTTATTTTAATACTCGCAAGTGGCGGAAATTGGATTGTACGCACAAATTGGGCCGTCTCTTCAATTCAAGCTGAAATAAAAAATGTTTACTTAAAACCACCATGAAGATTTGTCGTGCGTTTTCAGGTGGACCATTCTAATAACCTCCGAAAGACAGAGTAATATTAAGACCTTATTGAATTCTTGCTGGTATTATGACGAATTGGGACTCCTTTAATGATGATGTTGTCAATAGTTCAACCCATTCTCTGGCTAGAAAGCTCAAACTACAAAACCACAGTTATGTGGGAGTCCAGAAATGATTTCGGCAAAGTCAATAATAAGAAACAGAAAACAAAGGAAGTCAAGAAATATTCTTCTGCCGAAATAAACGAATCCGTTTAATCCGTTAAACTTCAAATTAAAATTGATTTTCGAGTCATGGATTTCTATATACCTTAAAAATTATTTGCCATGAAGATAATGCAGTTCTTCCTTGGCGTAAGCCAGATGCTACCACGAAATTGCTTACATGTTACTGAAAGGAACCAGCAAAAAAAAAAAAAAAAAAAAAAAAAAAAAAAAAAATACTGTAATACTAACTAGTGAGGAATACTAAAAATTTCAATAAGAAGTGTGACTTAAATTTGGCACCATTATGATATTATGTTTTTGCTTTCAATGTTGCATGAACAAAAGAATACGCATCTAACACGTGCGTAAATGCTAGAAAATTATTCAACAATTTATTTTAAACACTTATCAGTTTGTAGGCAACTTTTCGGAGAATTTTAAGATTTAGAAATTAAATAAGAAACATACCAATTTAAAATTTAAAATTAGACAAAGGAGCAGTCTGGAGAGGATGGTATCTGCTAGAACTTGATGAAAGGCTGGCAAAAGAAGCATACATTTGGTTGCCTAATTGGCGCTATTTTTTTTAAAAATTATTCCAGCTGCTTATTTGATTTGCCTCGCTGCGCAGTCAATGCAATGAACCCCTACTTTATTTATTATCATTCTTAAAATGGTTTGCTATTTCTTGTAGAGTTCTGCTTGCGCAGTTTTTAGACCTTTCTCTCCGTAGCTTTAGCAGTGGTCCTCCAGCCTGCAATATTTATTCTAGGATATGAAAGATTATCCATACCAAATATAATGCGGATATATTATCTGTCAACCATTACACTGCACAACAAATTTGAACTTTTTGTCGTGTCAGTATCCTTAACATAAAATATACTTTTTATATGGAAATTATGGTGTTAAATATGTAAACAACAATGAAATTCAAAAGTTACGGTTTTTTATTAATTTTTGAAATACGTTTTTAAACGCATGTTGATTGAAAGTGTTTTTCTAACACTAAATTCGTCTTCGTTTTGCAACCCAGCGATATATTACATCTGGAGCATCTCTAACAAGTATCCAAGAATAATCAGCAAACATGTAAATGCTCCATTTTCAGTAATCTTTTCTCCATCTCTGCAATGTCCTGGTGAAAGTACTCACCATGTTCATCACTAACCGCACCGCAGTTATCTGAGAAAAAGTCTAGGTGGGAATCAAGAAAATATATTTTCAAGATGTTGCAACCCAGTTTCTTTATAAAAAAGCAACAGTTCCTCCATAAGCTCAGTGTAGTTTTCAGACCTCTTGTTTCCCAGGAAGTTAGTAGCTACTTGTCTAAAATTTATCCAAGCATTCTTCTCGTCAGCTGTTAAAGTGTTTTCAAAAACCTTCGTCCTTGAAGAGATTTTGGATTTGTAGCCTAACAAAAATGCCTTCTTTTGTTTTTGCTTCTCTTATCCTATGACATATCCCTAGAAGATATTGAAATGTCAGGCCATTTTTACCCATCATTTTCACAAAATTCTTCATTAGGCATAATTTTATAGTAGGGGTGGTATTCATATTTTCATTGGGTTAATCAATGGCACATATTGCAGGTTCCTTTTCCATAGTTCCAAGGACTGTTTGGTAGGCCGTTCTTTCTTTTTAAGATAATCTGCCCTTGCTCAATTATCCGATTCACACAAAAATAGCAGAATTTTGTATATCCTTGCTACAAATAAACAGTAACTACTTTTAAATCTGCGCACACTTGTCATTTACAGTGTTCGTATTTTATGCACTTAAGGTAATTCTTCAAATTTATTTGCGATTTCCTTCATACTATCAGTGTGGTCATGGGGAATCAACGGTAAATTGTTTCTGATATGTAGCAGAACAGCTCTTGAGCTTAAAACATTGAACCACCTATGATCAATCTTCATTCCTTCGGTTTATGATTCATATCGAGAGCTCCGAATAAACAAGGCCTCATTCTAAATTCAGAAGTGCCGTATCCCCCCTGGAACGCCATCAGGAAAAAGGAGGAAAGTTAATAAATAAAATACTAGTAATAAAAGTAATTAAATTAAAATTAAATCCAATAAATATAAATATATAAATAAAATTTTAATAAATTATAAACTTAATGATAAATTGTAAAATAAAATAAATAAAATATCGGACTTCGTAATTATTTGGGCCTCCGATTGGACTTACAGTTACACAAAAAAACTAAGAAATGGCTCAGTCTATCTCCGGTTGAATTTAGACCCTTAAATATACATTATAAGATACTATTTCAGTGGGCGGGGAATTATTCTTTTTCCGGTACACCAGCGCAAAAAAGTTAACCATTAAAACGTCACGAATGAAAAAGGGCAGAATACTAGAGAGTACGGAAATAAATTTTAATGGAGAATTATAGATTTGAAGACCAACAG